TTTCTTTTATCATTATTGATATTGTAATTATTATTATTATTATTATTATTATTATTATTATTGCTACCACGTCGGCAATATTATTATTATTTCTTGTTAAGAGTAAAAATAGGTTTTTTAATGAAAAATGGAAAAATTTTGTTGGACAAGAAAAATAGAAAAGGGGAGAATTTTTTGGGATGGAGGAACTAATTATTTAAATCCCTACATTAATATGATTCTTTAATAAAAACAAAATACTCCGGAGTAGTAATAAAGGGATTTCTTTTCTTTCATAATTTATTGAGTAACTCATTTGTAAGTTGTGACCAACTAAAATCCAGATGGAAGCAATAGTAAAAATTATTGTTTTTCTAAAAAAAAGGGTGACATACACCCCATCCGGGAGGCCCCTGACTCGCTACCAGTTGGACAGTTCGAAGAGAGATTAATGTAAGTTAAACTATAATATAATCTTAGTAACTTGGTATAGGGGAGAGTTTCGTCCCTGATACTTGCAAAAAGCTTTATGTTTTACATGATTATATCTTATCTTTTGTAACATTCATATGCCAACCGCTAAACTATGCCTCGCAAGGAGGCGGCATCATTCTCTTTTTTTCTCAATTTTATGGACGGACTCATTTTTGTGATTGTAATTGATTGATCTTTAATTACACAATCTAAAGAATGCTAATATATGGTTCTCAAGACAAACAGTTGGCACGTCAATTAATTTGCTTTCAATAGAGCATATTACGTACTCCATCTCTATATATGCTCTCATACTCCTATCTTGTAAAATATTTTACATTTTGTTTTTTGTTTGATTTTAAAAATTAAAGGGTTATTTTTCTTTTATGGTGTATGTGATTTACACACTCTCTCTTCTCTCTTTTCTGCCGATGAGGCGTAGCTTAGCATATGAGTATTGCAAAAGAAAAATCCGGAGTTCGAAGTCTGGTGGTTGCGATGAGAGGCAACCATGCAAAGCATAAAACTTCTGTAAGTGTTGTACATGTAATTTGTCCTTTTGAAATTGAGTGAGATTATAGCTCAATTTATACTTCTTAGCTAATTTTCTGACTGATGCAAAGAGCCCTTGAGGATGGGATGTCATACTTTTGTGTTAAGACTAATCATATACTTTGACCTTAATTAAAAATTGTACTTTGATTGAAAAAGGAATAAATGCTAAAGTCATAAAAAATGATGTCACAAAATCCACAATTTTACTATCTATGTATTTCATCAAGAGAATAAAATGATTTTAAATAAATAAAAGTAGAAATCTAAATATACAAATGAAAAATTCGTATATTTTATGAGCCTTGTTTTTGTGACTTACTCTAACATATTTCCTAAAAAAGAGTTGTATATGTGACAAAAGACTTACTAAATACTCCCTCCGTCCCACTCTTTTTGTCCACTTACCTTTTGGCACACCATCTAATGCACTTCTTTAATTCATTTTATCTTGTAATTTGTATATTAAAAAATTATAGAAATTATATATCAATAATCTATATGTTAAGACAAATCAAACAAGATCACACATGACTATATTTAGGCTTACACATTGAGAAAATTTGATGCGTCAAAGTGCTTAAATGAACAGTTCTAAAAGTCAAAAGTGGACAAAAAGAGTGTGACGGAGGTAGTACAAACTACTCTGCAATTGTTTTGGATAAATGAAAAATAAAAATGAGAATTTATTTTATAATTGAGATACTAATTTTTTTGTCTTATTAGATAATATCTTTATTTGACTTTCGCGAGATATTTTAAAAATATCAAAAATAAAACAATTATATGGCGGCATGTAGTTAAAAAAGAAAAAATAGTTGCGAGCTACTCATTATTTTCATAAAAAAGATATAAAATAAAGTCAAAAGTTTTTATTAACATGTATATAAAAAGAATAATTTTTTTTTGCAAGATGGAGAGTATTGTGAAAACATGAAGAATATTTGAAGAATGACTCAAAGTTTGTTCTTACACTCCACACCAATATAGCAAAAAGTCGCTCTTTTTTTGTCAATTTCAAAATAAATTATTTATTTTATCCATTTTCTTTTAGGAAAAAGGATGAGTGGTTTGCAAGCCTTCTCTCTCCAAATATTCATCCCAGTATTCATCAACTTTAATCATAATTTTCTCATTTTTCAATAATGTTTTAAAATGTTGGAAATTAAAAGTCTTTAAAAAAATTGGAGATGAAAGAGTATCATACAAAATTCAAATTCCTATATGGACCTTAGTGATCTTTATATATATATAAGCCAAATGAAAATAAGCATATAATACTGAAATAAACATTTCTTTTAATTCAAGAAAACAAAATTGAAAAATTCTACTACTCCGTCACAAAATGATTTACATGTTTACTGTTACAGTCTTTCGATAATGTTTGTTTGTTTGTATGTTTTTATTGATCATTTGATAAAATAAAATATTATTGTCACTTTTTGTTTCATAAAATTTTTTATATTATTTTTAAATATGTAAGTTTTTTTATTTAATCCTAATTTGTATATAAATTTATCTCAAAAATAACGCAATTTTATACTTGGTTCGAATAAGAAAAATTAATGAAAATTAATGTGGACTTTGTGGACTTGATGTTTCTCTACACAAAAATACAAATAGTGATAATATACACTTTTAGAAAGCCTAAGCCTAATTCTTAAAAAATATGGGATGGATTCTCCCAGTCTCCTCTTTCTCTTCATTTCTCCCTAAAATCGTTCGTTGAGAGAGAGAGAGAGACTGAGCCACTGGTCCCATCAGATCGAAATCTCTAATTCTTTCTTTCTCTTTTTTTTTTCTCTCCCAGTTTTCTCACGACGAGGATCTGACCTCTTTCAATGGTGTTACCAAACAACCCACTGTCTTCTTTCTTTGTTTCCTTTATTCCTTAATATAATTATTAATTCTTTTTCAGCTTTTTTTAAAATATATATTCACCTTTTATATATATAAAAAATAAAATGTTTATTTATTTTTTCTAGTCAGTCCCACTGTCCCTTTTTTCCTTTGTTGCTTTCTTTCACTTCCTGCCTGGGATTCTGATTTCTCCATTTTTCTGTTCACTGTCTCAATCCCTTAGATGGTCATAGCCAGAGGAGATTTCAAGTTGTGGGTCTAAGGTATAATTGTACTCCATGTGTTAGATTTATTGGATTTTTTTTATTTTAAATATTGGCTTCAATTGATAGTTATGTTGTTTTTATATGAATCGTGTGTTAATCATTTTTTTGGTAAGTTATTTATGTGTTAATTAAATTACATTAATTATCTTCAGAAATGTTATAATTTGGGGCCTGTATTTAATGTTCTGGGTAATCTATTGTTGTTTAGGTTCTCTATTTTGCATTGGCGAAATTTCTGTGGTTACTTGGAACAATAGATGTTTGCAGCTGTGTAGAATTACTTGATTTGTTTAATTCCAATTTCTCTTTATTTCTTAGTGTGACATAGTGATTGAGCATCTAACTTGGGCTGATAGATGCTATTTAATTCTTATTCTATGACTATTTTATTTATTAATTGATGGTTGTGTATGAAGGTCTTGTTTGGGAACAATATTTTCGATTAGCGTTTTGGATAAAGTTTTGACAGTGTAAGATTAATTCTGAAAATGCTAACACTAAAACATTGATGCCAAACAGAGCCGAAATTATTATATGATTCTTTATTGGGATGCTTATGGCAAATTCTTTGGTGCGCCAAAAGCTTCATGTGGACATTCTCACATAACTAAATTAATATTGAGATGGATAACATTATTTCCTTTTTTTTGGCTAATATGTTCATGTCAGGAAGGCTATATATAACTTTTAGGTGCACCCAAGGTGCATGATAGAAGCAATCGACTTTTTTTAATTCGTTTTGGTTGCTGCCATTTCGATTCATGCAGAGTGTGGGCACATCATAAAGGCTACTTTCAATCCATGAGACACCTCAATGAGGAAGCTAGTAGCAGTAACTTACCCTTTTATTATAATAATGACGATAGAGCCTTAACGAATGGGCAATATCATAATTATGGTTTCATGTCAAGATCGATGACGGATTCAAATCATAGTCACGAGAAGGATACAGTCAAGCAACAGATGATTGAACATGAGGCCGTTTTCAAGAACCAGGTACTTGTTTCCATGCTTTATGGTCTCCCTTTTCTTCTTTTTTTTTTTTGTCTTTTTTCTTATCTTTTTATCATTATTACTATTATTGGATTTGGGGTTTTGTTTCCCTAGGTTTTAGAACTTCATCGCCTTTACGTTATCCAAAGGGGATTGATGATGGAAGAAGCTAAAATAAAGGAACCAAAGACACATTGGCTGCTGCCCTCAAAGGAAAATCATGGTTATGCTAAGACAGCTGTGTCTACCACCAACATTGCTAACTCTCCCTTGAGTTCTTCAAAGGGAAACACCATTCAGTTTGATGGTGTATGCAGTTTGGATTATAGACTGTCAAAGTTTCCTAAAAAGTTACCATTTGATCTTGAGCTCCCAGCTGATAATTACATTGATCTTGAACTGGAAGAAAACTCATCACGTCATCCTATAGATAATGGTTTATGTAATAAGGCTACTACTCAACAGAGTAGCATGAAGAAGTTTTTCCCTGATGGACATGACACTGCTGATCTCAACCAACCTGCCCGTCTTGATTGCACTAACCATACAGATTTTAAAAGTTTAATTGTTAATCCATTTTTGGCTTCATCAAGTGAAGGGATCTTGAAGTGTCATCATGGAAGCTCTAATGTTTCCTCAAATAATCTTTCTATGGGAAGCCATGGAAAACAGAGAGAATTGCTTCATTGCACATATGAAGCAGGTAGTGCCCTTTCTCAAGGTATCTGTCCTCAATTAAGAGAGAAACTTTATGAAATAACAGCATTGGAATAGGTTTACAGAAAAATCTCTTTTTTATCTTGATTTTCATCGTTCCCGCTTGGGTTCTTTCCGACCACTTTCCAAACAATCCAAAGTGGTAATGAATATATATTCATGCACAAGAATTGGAGAAATGAAAGCCGGCGTTGAAAACGTGAAAACTTTTCTACTTTCAATCCCAAAAAAAATCTTTTTCATGGCACTTTATATTATATATTTGCGGTCTGTTTACCCTTTTGTAGGTCACATTAAGAGTAATCTAACTCAAGCAGCTGACGGTCGTGAACGAAATATGTTACAAATGCATTCACATGGCATTAGGAGTGACTGGTGGCTAGAAAAGAAGGGTGGTGTACAAACCTTTGAGAAGGTTCGCAACAATGTTCTTGAGAAACCCATTGCAAACTCCATGTTTTCTACTTCTTCGCCTCAGCTTGCTAATTCCTCACAATGTGCCAATTCACGGTCACAATCTGCATCGCCTTGGGGAAAGCTGTCAAGTAGTTTAACTCACAATGTGTCATCTTCTTCTCATAAAAACCCAAGATGTGATGTTCCTCTTGGGGATGCCTTCACATCGGATTTTTCAGACAATATAAGGACATCTGTGGGTGATTGCCACTCTAGTAGAACTAATTGGTACAAGAAGTTTCTAGTGAGCTTAAATGTCATTCATTCCAAGCACCCTAGAGATTTGGATCTCAACAAGGCAGCCATAAGTGAGGAGGATGTAGAGACATCAGCCATTGATTCCTCAGGCGAAGGAAAAGCCAAAAACGAAAAGAAGAAAGCCGTCATGATTGATATCAATGTTGCTTGTGACCTTTCACCAGAACAGCTTGTTACAGAAAGAGAAGGGTTGGATTTTGGACCTTCCAGAAAGAGAAAAGTTTTTGACTTGAACTCGTGTGTTACAGAGGAAGACGAGGACACATTAGTACCTTCTGTTGTTGCAAGCAATAATAATAATAATGATAATGATAATGTCAAAACCGTGTTGGACATTGATTGGGAAGCTCCTTTTGTTTTGGATTCTGAGGAAGAAGACAATCCACCCACCACCATGCAGACAGATGACCGTGGTGCAGCGGAAGCAATAGTCGCATTATCAACAGAAACAAAATGTGAAATTCCACCTGAAGATCCTCTTGCAGAAACACTAAGGTGGTTTGCTGGCATAGTAGCCACCTCTTCAGCCAAAGAAAGAAGAGGCTGCCCATCTTATGATTCCTTTGAGATGATGACATTACAGCTAACAGAGACGCAGGAAGAAGAATACATGCCTAGAAACCCTTTTTACATTCCTAACCCTGAAAACATGGGGGGAGATGGAGAAGAATCAGTGGGTGCAAGAACCCGGAGGAGGGGGAGGCAGCGCAGGGACTTCCAGAGGGAAATCCTTCCGAGTTTGACCTCATTGTCAAGGCACGAAGTTTCTCAAGACTTCCAGACATTCGGACGACTGCTGAGTCACTGTTCATCTGGGTGGAGCAGGAGGAGTGGGACCCGGAAAAGGCGATGGGATCTGGAAGAGGAAGAAGAAGAGGAGGAGGAGGAGAGGGATAAAAGGCTAACAGGATGGGGAAAGACAACCAGACGGCGTAGAAGGCAGAGAGGCCCTCCTGTCATCCCTGCCCCCTTAACAACCTAAATGAATGAACGACCTAAATGCATGGTTGTTGCGCGACATGTGTTTATACTGATATGTTGTTTCATAGAGGGTGGTGAAAGAGACAGTATCTGGGAATTGGAGGAATGTTGTTTTTGTACATATATATACATGCCTTCGTAGCAGTCGACCGTTCGTGGTAGTTTTTTTTATTTCAGTTGGTTTTACTAACTTATTTTACTCCGTATTAATGAATAATAATAATAAGAATTCTGAACTGTTTTGGATGTAAAAACATTATCATTAATAGCTTCAAATTCTAGCACACTGCAGTCTGTCACATTCAATGTATTCTGTTCTTCGTTGGATTTTTCCTCACTTGGGATGTGCCATAACAAGGTTTGACGCCTTGCTAAAACAGAACACTTGGGTATTGGTCCCACGTTTTTCTGACCGTAAAATGAGTCTGTAAGATCAAGCGTAACTCGGATGGTTTGGTCTCTGGGTGAAAGGCTCGGCATGTGGCCAAAGGATCATTTATGCCACAGGACCGCGAGAGGAAACCTTGACAACATGAACTTAAGAGAACGAAGTTGGAGGAAGACGTGCGGAGGGAACTTGGAAGGGTATAATGAATCCCTGCTCACAAGTCACATGTGCCTTTGTATTTCACTTGATTTGTATTGGTATCCACAATATGAAATTTGTTAACATTAATGACAAATGTACTGATTATCTTTGATTAACTCGTAGACATATAACATACGGAGTATGAGAAAAAAGACTAGAAAATCTAAAGGTAACCTTAGATGGACTATACTTGAGGATGTGAAATTTTGGTTTTGACCATAACTTTGGCAATGGTGACACTGATTACAAAAGAAATTATATATATTAGGATATACTCTGGGGTATTGTTAATTTGTAAAAGAAAAGTGAATTTTATTTTTGATATTCTCTCTGTCTCAAAATGAATTACTTACTTTAAACCACATGCAAAATCTTATGATTTTATTTACAAATTGATATAAAAATAAAAAAAATAAAAGTTACATATTTAAAAACTATATCTAAAGTTTTACAAAAAAATATATGATAAAAACATTTTATGTTATGAAATAAACCATTAATATATGTAAATGAACAAAAGTTATAAGATCGCAATAGTAAATATGTAATTCATTTTAGACAGAGGGCGGTCTGCAAATTTGAAGCTATGCATAAACATTTTTCATCATTGTTAGAGATGGGTCTTTAATAAAACTTAGAAGGATCAATCAAATGAGTTAAATATGAATGTAACAAAAAAAAAGTATGAAATCTGTCCAAGGAAATAAGTAGGACAGGGCCGGCCTTAGGGTGAGCCAAAGTGCCCTACCGGGCTCAGACCTATTTGTATATATAAAATAATTTTTAATAGAATATCTTAAAACTTATTTTTTAAAGTAGCTATAATGATATTTAATTATATTATTGAAATTTTGTTTAGTGTATTACCTCTTAAATTAATTATTTCTTAAAAAATAATTTATATAATTAAATAATTTATGATGAAGGCCCATTTTTTTCCTCGTCCTGCGAGCTGGCCGGAACATTGCAACGTAGGAAATGGCGCGTGAACGGTTGAGTAGGGAAATGAGGGATTTGATGGATGAGCAGAGCATTATTAATTTTTCAAGGAAAGTTCGAAGGTGACGTGCCACGTACACACCACTCCACTCTTTTCCGTTCGGACTCTTTCGCCATCCGTACTGTGTTTTTTATTTACTACCTCCGTCGTCCCGTTTCACTATTATAAATGAATAAATTATGGACATTTATTTAATACTCCCTCCCTTTCGAATTGGTTGTCACTCCCGTTCTTACGATTTCTTGATAATTTTTATTTATTTATACGTTTTTATTTATAATTTGATAACATAAAATATTTATGCTACATTTTGTTTATAGAGTTTTTTTATGTATTTTTAAATGGTGTAATTTATATCTTTCATTTCTATACTAATTTGTAATTAAAATGATTTTAAAAATCATGGAATTTTGCACGTTGTTTGGAGTGTGGTATCCAATATAGGACGGAAGGAGTAAAACAGAGTAATTATAATTTGGAGAAAAGTACATCGTTTACCCTTGAGCTCTTTAAAAATTGCATGATTTACCTCTGTATATTAAAAAATACATCATTCACCCTCGAGCTCTTCAAAAATTGTACTTTTTATTTCTGAGCATTAAAAAATACACCAAATACTCCTAAACATTTTAAAAAGTTACGGAGTACATCATTAGTCCTAAAATGCGAGATAGGGACTTAGGGAGTGCATTGCTCCCACACACGGGATGTGCGAGTATGATTCTTCTCGCCCTTGAAAATATTGAAAAACTTATTTTTTTTATTAATATTCAATACAAGTTTAGAGTGATTAAGGATTGATGTTTGTCCAGCTTGTTTCAAAAAAAACTAAAATAGACGAACACATTGAAATAGAAAAAATACAATTTTATAGAGTACTCCTTATTTAGTTACAGAGTACTCCGTATTTATTTTCAGGTACTACTCAATACATTTTTAATACATTTTTTTTACACAGGTACTCCCTATATACTTACGTGAACTTTTAAAGTATTATTGACTCTATTAGAATGTGTAACGTAGTTCATTATAGAGAGTTAACATCCCAATTGAATGATAAAAAAACTATTTATTTATTGATTCATTCTCTCCGTCCCTAAATAAATGGCAAGAAAATACTTTGTAATGATTAAAATAAATAATTTTAAATTGATTATATTTGAAGGATAATACTCCTCATAAAAATAAAAGAAATCAAACTTATATGCTTACTTTATTTGTTCCGTTATTTTTTCTTTTCGAGTTTACAATGGTTGACTAAACTTTTTTTCTATTGAATACACAGGGGGGAGGTTTAGGGCAAATAGCACGCACCAGTATCCAATGTGGTTTGAAAAAAATTGGTATCAATATCTCTTTTTTTTTCAAAACTTATTTCTAAAGTCCTTGTGGTTTCAAAACGTTGCACTCATACCCCTTTTGATCATTTTCTGGCCATTTTTCCGGTGAAGGTGCCCATTTCTTATTTTTTGTTCCCCCCCTTTTTCCTTTATTTGTTTCTTTTATTTTTTAGGTTTTTTTTTTAAAAATTTCTTTTTAAAATCGTTAATATACTGTTTTTAAACTTAAGCTTATGTTTATTTGAAAAAAATAACATATACTACATGTGTACATCTCAAAATAATACGGAGTAATTTTTATATTTTTTTTCTGAAATAAAAAATAATTTTTTTTGAGAACTTTGAAAAATGAGGAATAAAATAAGCAATAAAATAAAACAAAAATTAAATAAAAATGAATTTTCTTTTTGAACATCCCAATTCTAAAAACTTTTTTAGTACTGGAAATTTCTTTATGTATAAGACTCTATTTTGGATGTTTCAATTTTTTTCATTTCGTTTTTACGTATTTTTATTTTTTTATTCTTGATTTTTTCTTTGAACTCACCAAAAAAGTTTAGTCTAGAAAATAAAAGGTTAAAAATATTTAGTTTGAGATAGATGGAGTATATGTTAACTTTTTATTTTTATTTCAAACACAGAATTTGATTTTTTAAAAAAATTAAACATAGAAAACTCAGAAATAAATTGTGAAAATCAGAAAGTATTGGTGTCAATTTTCTAAATGGGTCCTATAATTAAATGGCCAGGAGGTTTAACAAACTAACAAATGTCTCTGTCAATAGGTGGGTCATTATCATTACCGAATCTAGTTAATCGGGTTAGTGTTAAACGTTAGTCACAATCACGATCCTGGCTGGAAGGATGGTGTTGTTGGCCCTTCTTCCCTCACTCTCAAAATAATTTTTACCTAATTTCTCTGCTAAATTTTTTTGTATAGTTTTCATAAAAATTTAAAAAAATACCAATAAATAAAGATGTGGCTAGTTAAAAATGGATGAGAATTTGTTGCATCCGAAAGTTTCTATAAATCAATTGCATAACGAATTATTAAGTGAACATGGGCTAATGATGATTTATAAATCAATTTATTGAATCATGATAGAAATTAGTAAAAAAAATTAGTATGCTACTTCGTAGTATATTCATGTACCACAAACAACTGAAACAAAAAAGTGTCCAATTTTAGAAATAAACTACGGAGTAATTTGAAGTTTATTTTGACTATTTTCCCTTGAAAAGAAAGCTACCTACCTAACAAACAAACATTTTATTCAAATGCAGAAGCAACAAAACAAGTTAAACTTGTACAAAAAAACAAAAGAAATCAAACTTTCTACTGAATAAACGAACAATAAGCATTCTAAAAAAAACTAAACAATAACCCGAAATATAAACTTGTAAACATTTTTTGTAGTTTTTTAAAGAAATAAACTTTCGAACTAATGATTTTTTTTTCTCCAGAAACAATAATATGGAATAATAATAACAACAACAACAACAACAACAACAACAATAATAATAATAATAATAATAGTAATTCAAGAACACATTGCATTTTTTTCTAATATTTGAGGTGCTCTTTTACATTTCTGAAACATCATACGGAGTGATACAAACCAAAAACAGGCTCAGGTTTTTTTTAGAGAAAAGCAAGATTCATCATCAAACAAATAAATGCCAGTTAAAACTCGATCTTGCACTACTTACTTGACTGGGCGCTGATTATAGTTTTTTGTCTGATTCTTAGAGTTCATCCTTCAAGCACGGCTTTAGCAACATCAATTAGTGCAGGGCGAATGTCATCCGAAGCTCGGCCAAGCACAGTGTAACCTTCCTTGTCCTCTGCATCAACGTTTGCTCCATGTCTTATAAGAAGCAAAGCTACCTGTCATGTCAATCAAAGGCTCAACATGCATCACTATGTTGGATTCCTTTGATTGCAATGCTTAATCTATTTTAACTACTCTGTTTGTCCCCCAAACAGATTCCCCACTTGATAACATTCTGAGAGTAAAATTATTGTTTTACCCTTGGTGAATGGTATATCCACATTTGTAACTTCAATGTTAGGATAAAACATTAGTTTTACTCACAAACAAATCATCCATGTGGTGAATGTAGTAGCATCAGTACTCAAACAACATTTAAAAGATTAACATTGGCTGAAAAGGGAAAAGAAATGGAATGGGGGCGAACTCACATCTTTCATGTGGGAAATGACAGCAGTCATGAGAGGAGTCTGGCCTTCTTTATCCACTTCATCTACCTCTGCTCCTTCTTCAATTAAGAATTCACACAAAGTAGAGTTCCCTGTGCTCGCTGCACGGTGCAATGGGGTGCACCCAACCTATTAACAAGTAAAGATAGACAAACAAACAGAACTGATGAGCATGAAGTGCTAATTCAATTCAATTCAAAGGAGTAGATAAGTGAAAGCAGTGGCAGCTTTGTAGCTACAAGCCTTGTCTTTTGCATTGATATTTGCACCATGTTTAACCAGAACTTCAGCTATCTTCAAGTGGCCTTTGCTTGCAGCATAGTGTAGAGCAGTGCGACCGCCATTATTTTTTAAATTCACGTCAGCTCCTGTTCAAAAGAGTACTTAAGTTTGCATGTCAGAAAGTAGATCCCGAAGAACATGCCACCCCCTCCGCACATACATGATTTGATTACCGATACTCTAATGGTACGTGGTATTACTTAATTCGTGAACTGATATCTTGTTTTGATCCCTCAATAGACAGTAAACATGTTCCTAAATAATACAAAGTGACTTATGTAAACATGTAGTATTTCTACTTCGAGCATAAAACAAGACACAATATTTCTCCGTTTAGTATAAAATCAAGAGTTTGTTCGTGTTTGCGAACGGAGGTAATATTGTGTTTGCACTTCTTTCATAGTTCCACTATATTCTTGTATCTTCTGTACATATTGAAAAATGGAGGTAGTGAGTTTTATGTTCCTAGTTCTTGTTCTTGAGTAATATTCCACATAACATCTGAACATCAATAGCAAGAAATTTGTCTTCTATTTGGGAAAAGAAGAAGAAGAAGGGATGATTGAATTCATAAAAAAATGATTCTTCTTCAAACCTCTGCTAAGCAAAATCTCCAGAATTTCTGCATTCCCACTACTTGCAGCAGAGTGCAGAGGCACCCAACCTTCTTCATCTCCACAGTTTATGCCATTGATTGAAGATTCAGCAGCAGACAATACATTCACAACCTGATTAATACACTGAGTTAGGGTTTCAACGGCCTGAAATTTTTTTTTCATTTCATTGAGGTGTATCGGTGTGTTTAGGTGAACATTAACGCCAATTCTGGTACTGACGGAGCAAAAATGATGGAAAAAAGAGGAAATAGAGAAGGGAACCTCGGCGTGGCCGTAAGAGACGGCGACGTGCAGAAGAGAGCGATCATCTTCGTTGCGGAGGGCGAGGGCTTTGCGAAGCTGGTCTTCTGAGAGGGATTTGAAAAGCTCGGAATCGCCGGATTCAGCGGCCTTGAAGAGGTCGTCTTCTTTGATTTGAGGCGGCGTCGCTGAATCTATTTCCATAGCCATGGAAGCCGGTTCCAGTGTGCTGCGGAAGGCTGATTTTTGGAAGACTGGTGGAGTAGAGTCCCGCCCGAATCGGAATGAGGAATGGTCGCGGGTTCGGGTAGTTGGTCCAAACCTCTTTCCCAAGACATCCTTAGGCTCAATTTGGTATGAGGTCATTATGAAATTCACAAAACTTTTCTGGTTTTGACTTATAAAAAATTAAGACAAATATATATTGGTGTTGATTATCTAAAAGTGTCCTTGAATGTAATAGACAGGTTAATAGTGAATAGATGTAATGCGATAAGTAAGTTAAGAATTAATGGGTAAAAATAACTTTTTAATTGAAATGAGAATTTTTTTTAGATGGGTGAAAAAAGAAATGAGAACGATTATGTTGGACAGAGTAGAATGCATGCCTATATGGGTGTGTTTTTAGTAATTCTTTATTAATTGAAAAATTATATAAAATGTTATAAAAAGTAATATGTAAAAATAATTTAAAAATGGAGATGGAATGAAAATCTACATCCCTGATTGGAGAGGAAATGAGAAAAACTGATGTGATACTAAGTTGACAATGAGGATGGTGGGAATGGTAGTGATGACACCATTTAGCCTTACAATGGAAGTGGATGAGTTATTGAATTCCTTCCGGAAAGTCCAAACTCATATTAGCAGTTGTCCAAACGATCCAACAAATCTCAGTGTTGTGACTTGTGAGAGGGTAGTCACATTTTGACAAGTTATGCTAGAGAGGCTTAATTGGAACATAGATATATGTCTGAAACACATATATGTTTAGAGAGGCTTAGCAATAGACATATGTCTATAGTGAAAAACGATCTAACAATTTAATAGGTTAGAAGGAAAATCTTAGTAAAATACAACTGAAGAAGATGAAGATGAGCAAAAGCAGGTTAATTTAAAAAATGGCAAAGATGAAAAGGTGGGAGATATAGAGTTGCCTTGCATTGGTAAAATTGATCACACACTTTAGTATAGTGGCATGCCTAGATTCTTGAAGCGGCGTCAATCATGAGAGAGTCATAACCTCACAAGTGGGCTACAACCTACATGGTCACATTACGAGAGTTTGGGGTGCGACCTTTTTTTATAAACACTATAAGAAATGACAAAAAGCTAATAAATTTGATCTCACACGTTTAAATAATTCAAATAACATAACTAAATTGTATTAATATTAATTATAAATATAAAAAAATTGACAACGGTAGTAAATACTAAAACTAATACACATTGTAATAACATAAGCTAATACTACATCCTACATGGTCATATTTCTTGAATTTCTTTTTCCTACTAATTTTATCAAACTTAAAAAGATACTCGCTCCATTCTTAACAAATTGTCACAGCTTGACATTTTTGGTCGAATTGTTGTACCCTTTGAGCGTGAATTATGAAAAAAGTATATTTAGTTATACTCCGTAATATAAATTTAATAAAATCAGATTTATTTTAAAATATAGATTTAAAATATTAATTTTATAATATTTAATTACTTTACACTATATTGAATTCGTAGTCAAGAAGTTTTACAATTTGATCAAAAAAATTAAAATGTGACAATTTTTTAAAAACAAGAGAATATTAAAAAAATGTGTAAATATTTAATCTCCAACCAAAGACACCATCAATCATATACGGAGTATTTTTTTCGCTTTTTTTCCAGCCACCCACGCTTTGCACACAACGGAAAATCTCATCCTTTAAATTAAAAAATGAGTGGTTCCCAAAACTTCCCAACCGACGACGTCTCCAATCATTTCAATTTTCAACTACAGAGAAGAAGAAGAAGGAAGGAAGAAAACCTATCTTGTTTGTGAAATAACATCCATGGATCCGCGTACCCACAACCAATCTAGTGGCGATGCCAAGGCCGGCGACCACCCGGCGCCGTCTAGGTCCGAGTTATTGTCCAGCGCGAAGCTTGTAGCGGACGCCGCCAGAGCCAAGTTTAGCCACGAGCAGAGCAAGGCGGACAAGGCGGAGCTCTCTGCTGCCGCGGCGGATCTCCTCAACGCGGCGTCGCATTACGGGAAGCTGGAGGAGAAGTCGTATGGAAAATACGTTGAGAAAGCCGAGAATTATCTCCACAAATACAGCACCTCCCATTCCCCCACCGCCGCCGCGGCAGCATCGGACCACCATTCTGCCTCCGCCCAGCAAGGCCATTCTTCCGGGGATTCCGGTGGTGGATACGGCGAGTATATGAAGATGGCCGAAGGAGTCTTCAAGAAACCTTCAGCTCATGATTCCACCACCGCGGAAGCGCCGGACCACCATTCCTCCGCTGCCGGAGGAGCTCATTCATCCGGGAACTCCGGTGGAGGAGGCGGTGGGTACGGAGAGTATATAAAGATGGCCGAGGGCATCTTTAATAAACATTCGGCTACCGATTCCTCCACCACCCCAAGCCATTCTGAAAATAAATACGGAGAATATGCTAAGATGGCCGGAGATTTCTTGAAGAAACATTGATTTGGTACTCATTTCACTTTCTTGTATTATTATAATTAAGGTGTCAAAGATAGATGTGCTTATAAGTTCTTTGGACACAATTTCTCTTTAATGTTGTCATAAATTACATTAGAAACCTTTTAAAGGTGTAATAAGCCTAACGGCTTATTTCCTAATTTATTCTGATGTCTAGAGTGTGATCTATGTCTTTTTTTAATTAATAAGAATTCTACAAAAGATTGCTCTTTCTTGAACAAATTCAGTGTGTTAAGGTTTGTAGCTTCATCATCAACCTTCAACTTTAGAGTTCAATGGAGATGATAGATTTCAATTACCCCGTCCACTTCGAATATACGAAAATTATGGAATACGATCACATGTTAAATATGAGAGAGATGATACTATTTCTATGTTCATAATATCCAATTTGTGCAGTTGCTCTCTTGGGAAGTTTAATTCAAGTTGTGTGATTTTTTCAAGCCTTTACACACAAAATAAGTAAATAGTAATGCACCATACAATTTTCACTTTCATGTCTGTTTTCCACAGAAACTTTTTTTGATTTCATACACTCTTCCAGTTCTGTTCCTATGGTTGAAACTTGAAAGAATGTTCGGCATGGTTTAGAAGCACCAGAATGTTGATGGGGCTTTGCCAGTTCTTCTGTACTTGTCTGCCTTGTCTCTCACCTTACGTTCTTCGTTCTCTTTTTTCTTCTTTGCCCAATCTTTTGCTTTCTTCGAAGCGTCTTCAATCTCTCGGATCCTTTTCTTGTGATCTGCCTTAGCCTTTGCCTTTCTTGCCTCCAATTTCTTCTGTAGTTTTTGGTTAGCATGTTCTTTAGCGACTAAAAATCCCACACATCTGGTTTTGATCAAACACTGGGGAAAAAGGGGTAAAGAAAAAAAAACCTCTATTTTCTCTAAATTGTCATTTGATTTCTTCTTCTTCGTATGCTCCCATGTGTAAGTTGTTGAAATCACTTCATTGTACCTGAAACCTCCCTTCTTAGTGAAACATAGGCACACCACGTACTCCCTCCAAAGTCAAATGAATGAGAACATGATGTATGTTCATATTCATTGAACTTTTTTGATGTATCACAGAAGTTATCAAGCAATTCACAATGAAAAGAAACAGGTACCTTTCCTTAATCTTTTTCATCTCTTCCTGTTCCCAAATGTCTGCTTTGGTCTCCACACCCGCAGTTGTTGTTGGGGTTGGGGTCGTTTGTCGCAACGAAGGTTGTCTATTTGGGGGTATTGCTGGGGCTGAGGCTTGTATTTCTGGTGCTGGTTTTATACTTGGGGTACGACCGGACATCTGGTCGGCTAAAGTGGGGTTCCTTCGTATGGATTTGGCGATCTCTCCTGGCTCTAAATCTTTTCCAGGAGCTGCAGGTTTTATTGTGCTCTTGTTGTTGTTGTTGTTGAGGGTTGCTGACCTTAGTGAAATGGTTTTCTCTTTTCTGATCCCTCCCCTCCCCTCATCATCTCTACTTGACCCTTGGTCTGTTTTGATGGCATATGCAGCCGCGGCCACTGCTGTCGCGTAACCAGCATTCTCTTCCTCCTTTGCCCTCCTCATTTCTCTTGTTCTTGTTTTGTGTACGTCTGCAAAACCCGGATTTGGTTTATGTATCTATATGCAAAAAAAGAAGGTTTTGATCGTTAATTACCTCGGTTTGTAGATAGAGTGGGGATGATTAGGGCACCTCTTTGTGATTTGAGACCAGCAATGGTGAATGTGAGAGAGAAGAAAGGGAGTTAAATAAGGGAGAGAGAGAGAGAGAGGGAAGATAAGGGTATTATGATGGGGGTTGATGATGATAGGATTAGGATTAGGGTATGGTTTGAAATTGGAGGCAAGTAAAGGCAGAAGCCTTTGGGTGCAAGGCCTGGTTTTGGATCTTGAAGCACCAAAGCAAAAGCAACCTTTTCCCCTCTTCTTTTATTCTTAAAAATAATTAAATCGAGTATTTCAATAAATAAATAAATAAATAAATAAATAAATACTGTCATATAGATATGGGTGGGGTTCCCATGACATTGGGTTTCAATGTCATGGGAACCTTGGTGTATAGATATAGCTAGAAGCATTCCCCTAGCTATAGCTTATTCCATCCGTAATATTTTGTTAATGTGAATCTTTGGGAAGGTGAGAAAGGTAGAGGTCACATTTGGCTGTTTACATTTTTAATTATTCAAATCCTCAACGAGTAAAGAGAAATTATTGCTATTATTGTACAAGCTGCTTGTATATGAAAATTCCCAAGTCACATTTAACTTTCAAGGTCAATTTTTTAAACTTTGACTACAAATTACAGAAAACATACATTGGATTGTGATATAAATTTTATATCAATATGTACATTTTTAAACATAATTTTGAAATATCACATTTTTTTAATCTTATTTTAAACAATATTTTTGTTAGAACTCTATGGAACAAGGTAGAATAGTTGTATGTTTCAAAGACAGACAATGATACACTATTTTACTTGATACTGTACAAATTATCCAAATAAAGTATAAGGAAAGCACTTCTATCGCCGATTACTCAAACAAGATAGAAGCAAACATGGATCAATAATCGAGTATTTTTTACTTTTCCAAACTTTAATAACGGACTGATAAAAATAAATAAAACGTGTTCAAACAAATGTTGGGTGTACTTAACTTTTCCAATCTTGTGGCATTTCCCACAATGCCACTTATCGTTTCTCCGTCAAAAGGGGTAAAAAAAAAATGATTGAGAATTAGGTCATGCTATTATCAGAAATTGACTTGAAATTACATTTTACTAAGCAACTAACTATGAAGTATTTCAATATACGTGAAATTGATGGGGGTAAAAAAACTTCAAACTTAAAACAATTAAAACAGAGACAATGATGAGATATCTCAAAAGTTGAAGAACACATATATAGCTGGTAGAGAAAAGAACTCAAAGAAGGTGCTTATAGATAAGTTAGTTTTAGAATTTGACCAAGGCTGCTGATATTAAATTACACCCGTCATTTTATTGTACGAAAGGTGTCTGTGATCCCGCATCAAACTCAAATACGTAATGCATGAATGTGTTGTAGGTGTAACGATAGTGTAACGAGCTATTAAATCATAACACGGACATGTGGCTTTTTTCCCGGATAGATGTGTAAAACCGCTTACAGAATAATAAAAAAAAGAACATGAAAAAGAATTGAATGGTGGTAAACCATATATGGTCCTTCATTAATCACTGCCACACCTGCACCTTCCCCCAAGGAAGAAAAAAACAGTCTTTGGCAGTAGTACTACATTTAAGCAAGGGTGTGGAAGTCACCATCCCCAACCTAAGCATGCACCACCCTCCACCCAAGAGATAGATGCCTTAATCTCGCTATACAATCAAAATGTAAAAATTAAGTACTGCTATTGAACAACGAACATTTTCCAGCGATAATAACTTTAGGCCTGATGAGGTCATGTTTACTTCACCTGATCTGAATGAAATTAGTTTTGATGTGATCTTAATGTAACTATATTTAAAACTATTTATGATCTGATCTGATTTAATTTGATTCTAAATAATAAGTAACAAATAAAAAGTTAAGGAGAACTAGGCCTAACACGACCTATTAAAGAACAAAGATGTAACACCCTCTCCACTTACGATCGAACATGTGACCTCCCATTTGGGAGAACCACAACAATGTTGGCGCTTGATTGTCTATTGGCATAGTGATTTAACCGAGTTCCATCAAAGACAAGGCTTTCCAAATTCGCTCAACACTCGCTAAGAGATATTATCAAAATGTGAGTCAAACGAAGGCGCTACGCTATGAGACGTCACAATGCTCACATGTTTTTTAAGTATTGTTTTTTAGTAAACAGTAGTTTGTCAACAATAGTCTGTTATTGTTTTTGGCATAGTAGACGCCTAGACGGTTTGTGCAAATGGACAAAATTGCAAGGGCTTTAGCATTGTTTTTGTTTTTTTTTTTGTTTTTTTTTTTACATTTGCATTAAGGTAGTTTGGAGACATTTTTCTATTGGCATTAACTGAAAGATCACTATGAGCGTAGGATTCACAATAACAAAACATATTTATTTGATTAAATATACTTTTTTAGCTGTATTATTATAATTATTATAATAATAATTATTATTATTATTATTATTATTATTACTATTATTATTATTACTATTATTATTAATGGGCCGGTCCGGCTCATAGGCTTGAACATAATGTCGAAATCGGTCCCCTGCTATTTTCACAGGCCAGGTCAGTTCCTGCCCAAAAAATTACTGTTAAAGTTATCCGTTTTCTTTTACGTGCGATAAGTGGGCCTATGAACCGGTCTTATTCGTAACGGAGGGCTTTTTGGGCACCTATTTTGGACTTTTGATATTTGATAGGCTATATTAATTGCGGCTTGTGACAAGAAAAATGAGTAATTAAATTGACCCCCTCACCCCCACCTGAACCCCTAATTAATTGCATTCATGGACTTCTTGTGTCACATAATAACTCCACCCCCCACCCAAAAGTTCAACCCTCCTACAGAAAAAAAATACTGTAAATCTCATTTCACATGGAAAATCTAATATTTTTTTTAGATATAACAATTCTTTTTTCTTCTGTCATTTTGAAAATATTTTTAGTGATTTGTGAAAGCAGTTAATATGTATGGAGTATTTAATATGTACTCCATTTTTCATCGGCAATATATAGATCATACAACCGACCATACAGTTTTTCTGGTACATTCGCATTTATTACTTTATTTACGGAGTACTTACTTCTTTTATCCTAAATTAAACTGACGATTTACTATTCACACGGTCAAATTTTATTTAATTTATATATCAATTTTTGCTAGTTATTTGATAAAGAAACACAGTATGTCACGACTTGTTTTGTAAATCTTTTCATGTTCTTTTAAATATGAAAATTTTATTTTTTAATTCCACCACAATCTCATATATATTGATTTGAAATTAACTCTATTCAAATATCGTAAATCAAAACAGACATTTTAAAATGGTACAACGTAATAAAATACTCATTTCGCATATATACTTGTCAAATATTCATATGTAATTGTATGAAATGTGTATCATGTCACTCGCGAGTATACTTATAAATGTGCAAAAAATAAATAATCTATTACTCGAAAATGAGGTGCACTTATATGAAAAACATCGTAGACCCTAATATAGGAACTCTTTTTCATTCAATAACCACTAAATTGACAAATTGTAATCACAAATGCTACTTAAACAAAACAAATCAATAACCTTTGAGAGATGGTATAAAACAAGCGTCTTGCATGCTAGAAACTCGCTAGGTTTGAAGGTTTGATACGACACCGAGTATTTTACAGACATACACAAATACTCCGTAATAATTATCTTTGAGACACAAGTAGTTATTGTTTGTTATAGAACACTTTTATCAAATTGATTTTGTAAATTTTTTTTTATGAAACAATAGAATAGATCAATACTAGAGGTGAGAATATCATTATTGAGAGGAGTAAAGACTAATTCATTTCCGTACTTGTTTCCGCTGCCGCCGGGTTGGGTTGACCCGCGAATTGCTCTGCTTTTCCACCTGCCACCCAATCAATAATCAACCAAAAACAACCATGGAAATGCATGTCTCTCTGAAACGCCATATCACATGTTAACTAATAATGAAATAATTAATTAATAAAATTAACAGAAGGAAATGACAGTCCGGTCCCTGCTGAAACACCAAAACAGATTTTCCCTTTTTTTGGATTAATGCTGATCAGTTGTGGAGTGGGTTTGGACCGGAAGGGACCAATCTTTTCTCCGACCCGTATATCGGATCGGTCGTCTTCTCCGGCGGCGGCATGAAGGGAGGGCAGAGGCGGATTCTATGGAGGTGATAGCAGACAGTCGCCGTCGCGGCGGCGGCGGCGGTGGTTGACGTCAAACTGCTGTGAGAAGGAGAGGGTGGGAATTGATGGGCATGAAGTTGGGTTGGAGACGACGATGTAAATGCGAAGAAGAAGAAGAGGAAGATGACCGAAACAAAGATTTGATAGACATTCCTGTTTCTTGAAATTCTTGCGGCGGTGGAGGTTTTGATGGTGGATGTGGGGTTTTCCATTTCTAATTGGATTAGAAATGAGAGAAAAAGGGAGTTTATAACTCTATAATGATTTTTCAATTATATATATACTCCACCATCCCATAATTAAAGTCAATAAAATAGATTTGGGTGATGATTGATTAAATTTATTTTTAATTTTATTTTTTTAAATAAAGCTTTCTAATTTAATTTATTTTTTTTCAAATTTTAAAAAACTTATACGCACTGTTTTTAATCTATATATAGATTAAAAATAGTGATATATGACTACGTTATTTTAATAAACGATCGACGAACATTAATTAGAAAAAAAAGGAAAAATCTCATAACTAATATTTTTTTTAATTCTAGATTTAAGATGGAGAAATTAAAATATATCTACCGACGTAGTTACAATCACTTTCATAATCTAATATTGAGCATATTTAGTTAAAACGTGAGAGTTCAATTATTGCGAAGATGGAAGTATTGACTCAACATTGTTTCATTGGTTGAAAAAATATAAGCACATAGAACATTTTAGTATTGTCAATAAAACTCAAGTAAATAAATATAATAAATAGATATCAGAACAGTCTCATTCACACCGGCCCCGGTTGACACTATCGTCACTACGGTGCCACTAGCATGCCCAACATTTTATTTTGTTTTTCATAAGTATTAATTTGTTTACGCAAACTATGGATGGGTTTCACAATACATATCATTCTATTTCATATAAGTTCACTTGTTTGTGAAATGTTTTAGATTAATGATTTAATGGTAAAGAATTAATGGACCAATTGACCTGCGTAACCGAATCGTTTGGAACAACTTGGGTTAGGGCTTGTTCCAAATACTCCCTCCGTCCCTAAAAACATGGGATGCTTTGATTTTTAAGAGATTTAAAGAGGGTGTATTTTTGGTGTTAAGTTTCTAAAAATGACATTGGATATAATGCGTAAAAAATAGGATTTGATAAATAGACTAATAGTGAATAGATGTGATTTAATAAATATATTAAAAATTAGTAGAGATAAAAATGACTTTTAAATAGACTTGAGAAAAAAATTTTGGGACAGATGAAAAAGAAAAATTTTTAAGGGCGGAAGTCGTATTATTTTGAAAACAACCATCCTACTTGTTTATTTTAAAAAACATGCGGGCCGAATACTAAGAAAATCGGCCTGCCCTGACTCGTGCCTAGCCATAAGCTAAACTATAAAAATTAATGCATAGTTGATGCGATTATAGGCAAAATTTATAAAATTTCACCATAAGAAAAATTTAAACATTATTACGGAGTACTAGATAGATGTAGTAATGCTTTAAGTCTCTCACACTATTTTCACGAGTTGGGATAGGAAAAAATTAACACGATAATTAAAAAACTGAAATTATGTGGTCACTATCGAAATATAAAAGTATGATTAAGATATAATCCAATAAGAAGTAATGTAAGATTTACAAAGGGTGTAAGACAATGCTCATCATCCATTATTTTCAAAGCTCACCAAGTAGCATGGGAAGGCAGAGATCTGACAATGGCAAATAATCCGGCAGGCGGCATCGTTGGTGGTTGGTGGCAGAGTACTCCATTCCGTATTAACTTGTCTATTATGAATTTCAAAATGTATCTAAAAATGAAGGAATGTAAACATACTTTATGTCTACATTCGTTCATTTTTGGATGTATAACCAAAGTCTTAAAAGGCAGTTAATACGAGTCTTTTGAAATCCAAATTCAAGTTCCCAATGATGCCGCAGGAGGAAGCAAAATAGTCTGCAACTGTTGGTTTAATCAAAATTGGTTGGATAACAAGAGATTAATGAGGCCATATTGTAGGTTCTAGCAATGCAATATAACCATGTGGAACCTGTGATGCATTGGAACTACAAGATTCAATAGTTTCAAATCCCTGTGAGTCTGTGACCAAATTAGTCAAGTCAATGGCAAGGCTTGAACTCTCAAGGCACATTAATTTGATGTTCCAGAACCAGATAGCAGGAAAAGGTCAAACAAGGAAAAGCATTTCAATGGAGAAACTGTAAATGTTCTCAGGAAGAAGACTTCTTCAAAACCAACCCTCTATAACTTGAAATACATTGAGTTCAAGAAGAAGTGAATGATAAAAAATCAAGAAAAAACAACATAGTCTAATTGTAAGTTGAAAGCTTAAGGGCTAAGCAGAAAGACCAGTTTTCACATGCCAGTGAACGCCTTCTTTCCACCACTAGCAGAGCCAGCAGGAATCACCTTCAAAACATTGAACCTCACGGTCTTGGACAATGGCCTGTCAAGGGAACAGCAAAGAATCAGGACATTTGACAAATAGAACAATAGAACCCAGTGTGATGATTGTTCTTATATTCACCTGCATTGACCAATGATAACGTGGTCTCCCTCCTTTACACGGAAGCAGGGTGAGATGTGAGCAGCAATGTTTGAGTGCCGCTTTTCGTACCTGCAACAAGTAATGCAAGATAAATATGTGTGAGCAAGTTTGTTAGAAAACCAAAAATGAATACTAAAAACAAGGTCAGCCCTACCTCTGGTATTTCTTCACAAAGTGAAGGTAGTTGCGACGAACAATGATTGTTCTATTCATCTTAGCACTATGGCAAGTGCCAGCAAGGATACGACCTCTGATGGAAACGTTGCCAGTGAAGGGGCATTTCTTATCAATGTACGTACCTAAAACGGAGAGCGAAAAATAATTAGAATAAAACCAGTCATATTTTTGAGATGGAATTACAAATTTTCATTTAATGTAATAGTTCAACAAGCCTGATGACTCCTGCACTCTTTGTGTCCTTTACTAATGGTTGCTAGAGAGTAGAGACTACTAATGATAATTACGGTTCCAAAAAAAAAAAGATTACGAATTTCCTAGCAAGACATAATAAAAGATAGAGGCAAGTCATTGGGGGTAGGGTATATGACAATAAAAGGTATAAGAAAAATGCATGTTCCAGTAGAGTTTGCTAAAACCAAATCATGGGAACAGCTTATCAAACAGAAGCATGACAACAATTTTCTAGAACAAAGACATTGTCATCATAAACACAACATTCTCTAACGGAATGACATATGTAAAAGTTTATTACAGATTTGTTAAAATATAGAAAAGCATTTGAATAAACACAAACATCTCATTTCAAAAACATTAACACTATGTTTGGTTCAAGGAATTTGGAAGAAAAAGAAAAGAAAATGGTGTTCTCTCATTTTCCTCACCAAAATGGAAGGAATTTGGTTTTCCCTCCACTTCGTACATTTTGCCTTTTCATTTTCTTTTCCTTCCACTTTTCCTTTCTTTTCCCATCTAACCAAACAAGAAAAACTGTTTTCCACTTCATTTTCTTTTCTTTTCCCTTTCCAATTCCTTGAACCAAACATGGTGTAAAGAGATCCTAGGGAAACCAGCAAGCAGCTACTTTGTGCATTTTAAACCGATTTCGTGTGGTACAACACGAGCTAAATTGTATTTAACATCTAATCGTAACATTATAACACGAGCTGTTAAATGCAAACATTCACGGATGCAAAACAAAAAGGAAATGTTTTTAACATATCGAAAAAGGTCCTTTGAGTCTCACTTATAGTATTAAATATAATAGAAGATATTATTAGACCTTTTCACTTACTTCACATGATCTAACAGAACACAAAGACTGAAAGAATCTATACAAACCTTCGATAGCCTCGCGAGGAGTCTTAAACCCCAACCCAATGCTCTTCCAGTAACGGGTGCCTCCCTTTCCGGGCCTCTTACCCTTAACCGTTTTCTTCGAGCTGCAGACGGGAATGAAAATCGGATCTTTTAACCAAAAACCTTGATTTGCCATTTCTCTCAATAAATTACATATACTAGATGAAATCGAATGGGAAAATCGCAAGAAGATGCGTTTAGATAAGCATATTCTCCATACCTGAGAAAAACTCCTGGCTGCTTCAAGAAAGCCTTCTCAGTCTGCAAAACAAACCGAATCAATAAAATCCTTCCGCAATTATAACTAAAATGGGTAGAGAAAATGTGTGTAGTTGATATTATGCGAAAAAGAGACGTACCTGCTCCGCCATTGCTCCTGTAGGTGCAGAAGATAAGACGAATAAGAAGAAGAAGATGCGGCGAACGCGAAACCCTAGCAACCCTGCTACCGTAAAAGTGTGAAACTTTGAGCCAGTGCTCTGTATTTACTCTATTTTTTTTAACTTTTTAATTTTTCAATTTTCAATAATTCGATAAATTTCTCAATTACTATTAGAATCACTCGATAAGTTAATATATTTTTGTCACATCTTCTTTTGTAAAAATTTTGACTTACTTTTGAATGATATAATTTTTACTTTTTATGTGCTTCCTCTGTCTCTGAATATTTGTCGACTTTTGATTTTTTCGATCAAATTAGTAAACTTTGAACTTAAATTGAATTAAAAAGATATTAAATAATGATACAAAAATAATTCTATTAGATTTATTGTATCAAATATTTTTAAAATATTATTTTTTCTAATTAACATACAATATATATTTTATTTAATTATGAGTCAAAGGTTGAAAAAATCAAAACTGAACAAATACTCAAGAGCGGAGGTAGTATTAAATAAAATAATTTTAAAAAAAGATGAAATTTTACGCGTTGTTCAAAATAAAAAGTTTATGGTTGAATGGAATGGAGGGAGTAATTTTTACTCCGGTAATATTTATTTTATACTCTGTAGTTAAATTTTAGACTCCGTATACTTTTAAAATTTTGTATAGTCAAAAAATAAACAACTTAGTTAATAAAGAGTATTATAGGGGTGACTGGGTGAGCAAAGACCGACCAATCCCAACATTTTACCAAAAAAATCAAGAATACTGAACCAAAAAATAGCGAAATGATAAAGTACCACAAAATAATCGAACCATACTGAATTGAACGGTCAGTCCGATATTTGAAAACGATTTGAGGTTACTTCTTATACCGAAATCCCTGAATGGAATATATATACTAATATATTATAAAAATAATAATCTTCTTATATTTTTTTCATTAAATAAAATTTTTTATAGACAATTTGGTTTGATTTCATTATATGTAAGTTGCACTTTAAGAAGAGTTTTTTATTTTTTTGTATAAGAATATTAACAAGCATTTGAAATAATACATTTTTATCACTCGTTCTCTTTAGTTTGTGAATTACGGAGTATAAACTAACTTTCGTTGGCGTTTCTTGCATTTTATTTTTCATTTTTAAATTTTTTATATTTCGTTGGTTATATGTACTTTTATTTTGTCAAAAATATAATTAGAGATCTTGTTACTCCGTACATTTTATGGTCTAAACTAGGTACCTATATATTCATCCCGGTTTGTACCGAAATCAATATCGAATCATCCCGAAACATATAAAACCGATGCTTCCGGAGCAGGATCGGTATAACGTAAAATCACATACCGAACCAAGATAGTTGGTACAGTATCAGTATGAGCTAAGTACCATACCATATTGTATAACGATCACCCATTGAGTATTTGTATCTTTCTCTGTTCTTCTAATGTGTTCGTCTAATTTTAACATTTAAGAAGTTTCATTTACTCCCAACTCTTCTAAAATTGAACGATTCCCCATTGGTTTTAAAAATTGCACCAAAAGTCCCTAAGCTTTTTAAAACATTGCATCAATGATCTTTTTGCGTCAGATTTCAGAGTGCGTTAATCACACGCTTGTCCAGTACAATTGTGGATTTACCTAAACTCATTTACTGCATGCAAATTCTGTAATACGCTTTCCCAAACATTTTTTTATATTTTAAAGGGGAAACTCTCTAGATAGAATAAAAAAGTATAAAAAATATCAAAATAGGAGTCCCTAAGGCTTTTAAGACCAAAATAGGAGTTCACATGCACTGACATTATTACGCTACCACACGCACCATATTGTCATATTATAATTGTCACACTATAATTGATACGTTGTCATTTGTCACCACCAGTCGGCAGCAACTAGAGTGCCGCTGAGGGCCGTTGACAGTTGATGGATCACACTGCAATATAACATTGTCATCATTTTTCATCACACTCACAACACACATTCTTACATTACACTACCATTATATTTTTATTTTGATATTATGAGACTTAGGACTTCTATTTTGGTCTTTTCATGCTCTTTTACTCTTATCTAGGATGATTTGTATATATTAAACCTCTCGAAAGTCCAGATGACTATTCTCGCTTCAGCTAATGGTAGCCAAATTGGAAGCTCGGGCATCACGCAATCAAGCTATTCATCAATCGACCAACTTTTTCATCAATCCATGACATCTTCATCAAACTCCAATTAGTATATTGATGAGCGTGTGATTAATGTCCTGTGAAATCTTACATATACAACATTTTTAAAACTTTAGGCCCATTGGTGCAATTATTAAAAATCAAGAGAAATATATATAGTTTTTGAAAAGTTTGAGAGTAAGAGGCACAAAAAACTCATTTTAAGTCAAATTAGATATTTTAATCATCAATTATTCCAAATTTATATTGTATATTGATACCAAAAAAATAGAATATATATGAAAATACTCTTTAAAGTAAATTTAAAAGAATTATTAAGTTTTAATATTTTTCTAGTTTGACAAAAAAATGTAAGATTACATTAACCAAACATAGCCTAAATCTTCAACCCTAAGAGCACTGGAAATACCTGTGAAGCCCCGGGGCTTCAAACCGGGGCTTCAAAATTTCTCTCTCTGCCACATCAGCTTTAACTTACCTCACAGATTCACTGGAAATGGGTTTGAAGCCCCGGGGCTTCAAACTGGGGCTTCAAACCTTCATTTTTTACATTTTTAAATATACATTTTCTAAAACTAAATTAATAAAATGTAATTAATTTATTATTTAATTATATTGAAACACAAATAATAAAAAAATACATTCATTAAATTTAAAGAAATTGAAACGACAATAATTTAAAATTTAAAAAATTACATTCATTAAACTTAAAAAAACGACAATAATAAAAAAGATACATTAATAAAAAAACTAAGGTAAATTATATTTCGCCTTGATCTCTCTTTGTCTTTGCTCGTAGATCATCTATTTGAAACCCGATAACGTAGAAAGGTCGGTTTCCATGATTTTGATCTCGTCCTCCTGCTCCTTTCGCTTCATCTCCTGCTCCTTTAGCTTCACCCTCTCTTCTTTTGAAGATTGAACACCCGAAGTTGTTCAACCATTGCCCGACCGATTTCGTCGCGAGAAGAAACAGAAACAGAGCCGGACCCTACCGAACCCGAGGCTATGGATGTTGCCTTCTTTCTTCCGATCGGCCGTGGGATGGGGTCCTCGTCATCAGAATCTGCAACGTTGAAGGGAGGCATTTGTTTGGACGAACCGATAGTGTCGACGACCTCAACCTCGGCGTCGACGGAGGATCTTTTCTTTGACGATCCGCCGTCGGGATTGTTGAGTTGTTGCCACTTCGGGGAACGGCTCAAAATCCTCCAAAGATCGATGGGCATCTTGCCTTGGTGCCCGTCATCTTGATACCGGGTCGTGGCAAGCCGGAGAACATCGGCGTCGTTCGTCCCGCTCCTCCGGGACCGGGCACATTCCTCGTAAACTTCGATAAACTTTCGGACTTTACGGTTGATGTGGCTCCATTTGGAAGTGAGTTGGTCCCGGGTACGGTAGGAGCCATCCTTGTTCATCGCCGTGAAGAACTTCTCCTCGATACGATCCCACATCGCATCCTTCGTTTGCTCCGAACGTTTAAAAAAGTATAACACGAATTTTTTTTATGACAAGATTAAATATAATTTTATATAAATAAAAACATAAATATATTAGAAAACATATATTTTTTACCAACGATTGGATGCTCGGAGACATCAACCCAAGCCGACGCCAATAAGCACTCTTCCTCCGGCATCCACTTTTGGATTGACCGTGCCGCCTCGGTCATCGTGCCTTTTGCTTTGTGGCTTTTCCGGCGTGCACTTTTTTTGGAGCCGGATGGTTCCAGTTGAGTCTCTGGAACCGAATCTCGCTCGACGTATACTGATTGTTGCGTCTCGAACATCGGCGGATGATTCCCGTATTCTTGGAAATACCACATCGCGGACTCGTGAGGCTCGAGATTGTCGGGAAAGAAGCCGGAGCCGGAAGGTTTCGTGTTCAAAAGAGAGGGGGGAGTTTGAAATTGAAAAATGTGTGAAGAAGATTGAAGGTGTGAGAATGGGAGGGGGGTTTGAAATTTATAAAAAAAATAATTAAATTTTTTCTTTTTTTTTGGGTTTCAACGGCTAAATTAGGCGTTAGGGGGGAGATGCGTCAAACCAATGACGACGAACAAATGACGCCCGGATGAAGCCGATGGAGAGCGGTGTTTAACGCCCCGGCGTTAAAACCGGCGATCACGCCCACCGACCTGCTATCAGACCGGTGGGCGTGATGCCCATTACCAGTGCTCTAATCAACCAGTCTCTGTCCCTCACTCAACTCTGTATGGCTTTGCCGCCATCTGAAGCCAATGCCACTTCAAACTAATTTACCAGACACCATTTATGATTCTCCCAAACATGTACCCACTACTGATATGAAACATGATCATCCCTCAGATCTTCTTCTTCTTCTTCTCCACCCTTCTGAATCTCTCCTCATCTTTTGCATCACAGGTCTCTATCTCCGTCGCCCCACCTACCGTCCTCAGATCGGGCGACCCGATCACGATCCGATGGTCCGGCATTGACTCCCCATCCAAGCTCGACTGGGTCGGGATCTACTCGCCGCCCGATTCATCCAACAAAAACTTCATCGGGTACTTCTTCCTTTCCTCCTCGCCCGGATGGGAGGCCGGATCTGGCTCCATTTCCTTCCCGCTCGTCAACCTCCGATCCGCATACCAGTTCCGGATCTTCCGATGGTCGGAGTCCGAGATCAACCCCAGGCGCCAAGACCACGACCAGAACCCGCTGCCCGGGACGAAGCACCTGCTGGCTCGGTCCGACGAGATCCGGTTCGAGACTGGCCGCGGGCCCGAGCAGATCCGTCTGGCCGTGACGGGCCGGGAGGGCGAGATGCGTGTCATGTTCGTCACGCCCGATGGGAAGGAGAGCTCGATTAGATATGGGTTGACCCGGGGGAATCTGGATCGGGTCGTGGGTACTGAGGTGGGGCGGTACGAAAGAGAGGACATGTGTGATGCTCCAGCTAATCAGAGCATTGGGTGGAGAGATCCTGGGTACATACATGATGGGGTAATGACCAATTTGTCAATGGGGAAAATACATTATTATCAGGTGATCATCATCATCATCATTGTTCAGATTATTCTTATGTAGACACTCGAGATACTGAGTACATTCATGGCTGCTTGTTTTCCTTTAGAAATTTCTATGTCGATGCCCCTAAATGATTAATCCAAACTTCTTGCAGCTTTGCTACACAAAGAAGCCTCTATCTGTTTACTGACAGGTTGAAACATCTTTGTTTCCAAGTTAAGATTTATTGTTTTTCGTAGAATCTTCGCAAATCGATCTTCCGATTGGATTTTCTTGAGTTATTTTTTTTGTTCTCATCCATTTATGTAATTTGCTTTTCAAAAATTTCTTATGTGCTTCCCACTCATACATGCACTCTGTATATGACTATCTAGTTTGGTGATTGGCATATATGTTTAAGCTGTAATTTGAATATCATTTTTCTTGGATAGTATCAGTTTGGGGGTTTGAGTTTCATTTTCTTGGATCATGTTAATTTGGTGGTTTGTGTATCAATTTCTCGAATCATGTAAATTTAGTATTTTGAGATCCGATTACTAGGACCATGTTAATTTATGGTTATGGGATTCATTTTCTTGGTTCATGTATGTTTATGTCTTTCAAGATGAAGATATTAATGAATGGTATATTAGTTAGACTTCAAGGCTTGGAATCAGTATTTACGGTTTAGACCATAGAGCAATGGCTGCATTTTATCAGTTGATGCACAATATTTACCCTTGATACATGACAATACAGGTTGGGAGTAATGCCGGAGGTTGGAGTACAACTCACTCTTTTGTGTCTCCTCCACATGGGGACTCAAGCGAGACAATAGCTTTCTTATTCGGAGACATGGGGACTGCAACGCCTTACACTACTTTTGTGCGCACCCAAAACGAAAGCATATCGACACTTAAATGGATTGCCCGTGACATAGAAGCCCTCGGGGACAAACCTGCCCTTGTGTCCCACATTGGTGACATCAGCTATGCTAGGGGCTATGCTTGGTTGTGGGACAACTTCTTTGCTCAGATAGAGCCTGTTGCATCCAGAGTCCCTTACCATGTTTGCATCGGTAACCATGAGTACGATTGGCTACTGCAGCCTTGGAAACCAGAATGGTCTAGCTATGGAAAGGACGGTGGAGGTGAATGTGGGGTGCCCTACAGTCTTAGGTTCCATATGCCCGGAAATTCATCCGAACCGACCGGGATGCGTGCTCCGCCCACCCGGAATCTGTACTACTCGTTTGATTTTGGACTCCTGCATTTCGTTTTCATGTCAACCGAAACCAATTTCCTTCGCGGCAGCAAGCAATACGACTTCTTGAAGAACGACTTAGAATCGGTTGATAGGAAAAAGACCCCATATGTGGTGTTTCAAGGACACAGACCAATGTATACTACAAGCAATGAGTACAGAGATGCCCCTATTAGGCAAAAAATGCTAGAGCACCTAGAGCCTCTTCTAGTGAGCAACAATGTAAGTCTTGCACTGTGGGGCCACGTTCACAGGTACGAGAGGTTCTGCCCGCTAAACAACTTCACATGTGGAAGCCTAGGGTTGAATGGGGAGCGATGGCAGGCTTTCCCGGTGCATGTCGTGATTGGGATGGCCGGACAGGATTGGCAGCCCATATGGGAACCGCGGGCGGCCCACCCAGATGTTCCGGTATTCCCCCAACCCGTGAGGTCTCTGTATCGCGGGGGCCAGTTTGGGTACACGAAACTCGTTGCTACAAAGGAGAAACTCAAGTTTTCTTATATTGGAAACCATGATGGGGAAGTGCACGACTCAGTAGAGATATTGGCTTCAGGTCAAGTTCTCAATGGCGATGGTGCCAGCAGCAGCAGCAGCATTAACACTGTGGTTGATAGGAGACAGAAGAGCGACGAGCCTAAAGTAATGAGAGGATGGGATGAGTCCGAATTGGCATGGCTTCTCAAAGATGTTGGGTTATTAGTGTTAGGAGTTGTCATTGGTTGTGTAATAGGGTACTTATCGCGCGCAAGGGGCTCGCCTCCCAAATGGGTTCCTATAAAGAATGAGGATTCATGAGTGTTCTTGATTCAATCTGGAGGATTTATCAGCGTTCTTGATGCAATCAGGCCGGTTCTGGGGACCCTTGGAATGGGTTCATTCATTTGTGTTTGAAGATTAACTAGCTTTTGGCCTTCCTTGAGCTTTGATGGTAATCTTTTGCTTTGTATATGTTTACACTTTGTTAGGTGTTTATTAATTCATACTATTGTTACTATATGGAGGTGTACATATATGAGACTGTAAATGTGTTGTGCTACTAAGTAGAACTGAACCTGCGATAAAACCAATCAAAGTACTGGTTCCTGCTTGAACTAGTGGTTTGTCTGGTTGAATATGTGTGTGTGTGTGATGAGTAAACAAAACAGTACTTCATCTATTTATAAATAAAAATTATGATGTTTGACTAAAGTTATAAGTAATTTAATTTACTTGAGTTGTGGCATTAAATTAAAAATATATATATATATATATATTTAAAATTTTAATAAAATAAGAGATGATATAATTTTTTCAAATAATTTACCCAATATTTAAAATATGTATATAAATAAAATATTTGTGTGATATGCACTCTATATTATTATCAATGGTTTAGAAGACTAAAACATTATACTTTTCAAAGTTATTTGAAAAATAATTTTGTACTTACAGAATATTGAGTATAATATGGACAAATGTATTAGAGTGCCACACCAAGCTTCCCAGTTCAGTGGTCAACAGCTCAAAGCAACTCCAATGAGGCCAGGGGTTGGAATCCTTGATTTGAATTTTTAAAACTCTCGAGAAAAAAAAGAGGCAGGTTTAACCGACTAATTTTCACCGGTTTTTTTACTGATTTTCGGTGGTTCGATGCGGATAACGGTCTGAAGGGCTGGACTAGACTGGTTTGTTATCCGGTTAGCCAATCCCCAATCTGAATCAGTCAGTCCGATTCATATTTACTACATATTCATACCTTGACATATTTCATCACACTTATCATAACATATATTTTCCATCACTCTACATCATACTCCTATATTTTTACTCCCATCAAGCTCCTAGCTTGTCACGTCCGCTATAACACATGACCAGATGACCTTATAATTTTCGTTTATAAACGATAAATGAAGATATAATTTTAAATTAGAGATGAGTTTATTGGGTTAATGAGTTCTCCGTAAATGAAGGTATATGAGAGATGGCGTAAGACATATAAATGGTTCAATAATTGTTTAAATTGGTGGATCAAATGTAGATGCTCCTCATTAGGGGAAACATAAAACAAGATGCCCTTCGCAGACAATTTGGTGGCTCTCAATAATTAAGAATTTTGTCAGTGGGAAGTATTATGTCCTCGAATAAAAAAACAAACAATTTTTTTTGAGGAAAATAAAAATCATATTGGGAGTATACACAATCATCCATCAAGAATTGTCCCACGGCTCCCTCTCGTCAAATAGTTCTATTTTCATATTTGACTGAAATTATTTTTTATTACATTTATATATGAATCAAAATTAAAATAAAACAGATCTTTACGTAAAACTAGAATAAAACAGAATTTTACCATAATTTAGTAATTTAGCTCGATGGAACAACACATAAAATGATTAAATGTACTTTATACTAGATTTGTTTACTTGAATACTCATTTTGAAGAAGTGGTGTGATAAATAATTCCTCTAACTTTCTTTGAGATTGCGTTCTTTTTGTCTGATCTACTATGTACTCTGTATTTGATTGGATATGATATGATCTGATTAAATTTAATCGATCCGATCTTGTTTAGTCGTCTCATTTAATTTTAATTAGAATATGTAAAAGAAACATACCTAAGTTGGTCTTTTGATTCACTCCATTAAGGGGACTTGTTTGAATACTCATTTTGAATCCCTAAATTTTGTGAGAGAAAGATGCAAATTTCATTGTTTATTCTTTCATTTTAAAAAATAAATTTAATTTAAATAATTTCAATAGTTAATTATAAATTGAAATATGGAATATATACCAGATACCTTCATTCCATATAAGTATCCATTACATCTTTTTAGATTCATTGAGAAATGAACAAATGTAAAGATAAAACTATTATAACTACGTTCATTTTTCATTAAACCTAAAAGGTCCTGATGAATTGTTAATATCAAATATAGGAAGTATTTTGTACTTCTCTCGTCCCAGAAAACTTTTCAAATACAAAAAAACTAAGAAATGCCATAAAATTGAGCAATTTCATATTATATTCTAAATACTCCCTCCGTCCTTGAGTATTTGTCCACTTTTGACTTTTTTCGGTCAAAATTGATAAACTTTGACCTCAAATTAAATAAAAATGATATTAGATATTGACACAAAAAAAAATTTTATTAGATTTATTATATCAAATATTTTCAAAATATTATTTTATTTTATTAAAATACAATATATATTTTATTTAATTATAGATCAAAGGTTGAAAACAGTTGACTGAAAAAAGTCAAAACTGGACAAATACTCAGGGACGGAGGTAGGGGTGGACACGGTACGGTTCCGGGACGGTTCCGGTACCGGAACCGCCGATTCCGGTGCCGCCACCCCTTGGTACCGGTACCGTGACCGGACCGGCCGGTACCGGTTCTGGTACCCGGACCGGCGGTTCCGGTACCGGACCGGTCACCCCCAAATTATTATTTTTTGCTTTTTTAATAAATTTTTAAAGTGTAAAATTGTAAATGTTCAATTGTTAAAAAAAAGAATGAAATAAAAAATATAAAAATGCAATTTATAAAGGAAAGAATGAAATAAAAAAATTTAAAAATGTAATTGTTATTTAAATCTTGTTATTTAAATATGTCTCCCCCACTCCCCCACCCCCACTAACTTGTTTTATTACTTTTTTTTTGCAGGAATTGCAGCCGCCTTGCTGGAGCCGGAACGCTGGACCGCTGGAGGTGGAGGATGGACAAAAAAAAAAAGAAAAAGGTACCGGAACCGGAACCGGTACTGCCGGTGTCGGTACCGGTATCGAAAATTGGGTACCGGAACCGGTACCGTGGGGGGCGGTACCGGTACTGGTTCCCGGGACCGGTGGAACGTCCCGGCCGGCCGTGCCGATGGCGGGTACCGGCGGTACCGTTGCCGGTCACGGTACCGTACCGGTACCGTGTCCACCCCTAGACGGAGGTAGTATGTTGTCATACAAATCATATCCTAACTTAGAACTACCTCCGTCGCAATATACATGTTCAGTTTGATTTTTTTCGAGTAAGATTGGATAAACTTTGAGCTTCAATTACTTTCAATTTGTATTGTATAATAGTATAATGAAATACAATTTTGAAAATTCTCAATACGAAAAATCTAATAAAGTCTTTTTTATGTTAAAATACATTATAATTTTTATTTAAATTAAGTTCAAAGCGTGTTCATTTTGAATCGAAAAAGTCAAACTGGATAAATAAACTTGGATGGAGAGAGTATATTATAAGGATAAATTTTATAAACAATACTGAGTCTATACATTTTTAATTTGATTTTTAAAAAATTTATGAGACATACATATACTACCTCAATCCCAAAAACTTGAGTTTCTTTTTATTTTTTCTTGTCCCACAAAAGTCTTTGTTTTTCAATTAAAAAACCATTTTTATTCCTACTAATTCTTAATCTATCTTCATATCATACTTGTTTACTCATAATCTTTCCATCACATCCCACTTTTTACCAATCATATCAAAAGTATTTATAGAAAGTTAACACAAATTTATTTCTTCCTTAAATTTTTCTAAAAGTCAAAATAGAAACATTTTATGGAAAAATATAATTCTAGGACAAAATAGCATTAAAGAAACCCAAAAAAAAAGAAAAACTCAATATTAATACGCGTGGAAGGCAATCTAGAAATGCGAGTGCTAAAATATCAGCGTCACTAATTTAGAAGTTGACGGTGACTTTGTTTTTGCTTTTACCTTTTCTTTCTATTCAATTTTTTTTTCATCACTTTCACATCAGTCTTCTCAACTCTGTCTTGACGCGAAGCAAATTAATTAAAGCAACCTTTCCAAAAGCCTCCAAAAAATAAAAAACAACAATTCACTCTCAAA